ATCCTTTCTAATTTTTGCTACTTCCTGCTCTACAATATTCACCTCTTCCCCCCTTCTTTCCCTCTCATTTTCCTTATTCATCAGCTCCTCAAAATACTCCTTCCATCTTCTCTGCACACTCTCCTCACTTGTTAGCACCTTTCCATCTCTGTCTTTAATCACGCTTATCTGTTGCACATCCTTCCCATCTCTTATCTCTTTGTCTCGCTAATCTGTACAAGTCCTCACCTTGCCTCGTGTCTAACCTGGCATACAACTTAAATTATAATTTAAACCCACAAACCAAATTTATGTCACACTGAAATCTTTCAATGCATTAAAATACACTCTGGTCTTCGTGCTTAGTGGCTGCTACATTAAGAAAAGCACGTTGTGTATAAGATCCTTTTGAATAAAGCTTGAGAAACACACTGAGAAGCAATGCAATGACACCAGCTCCAAACTGAATGATGTTGATAATGTTGTCCTGCAGTTCCTCACCTGCTTCTCACTTCATGAACCTCAGCGAAACTAAACCGGGTTTGCAATGCTGCATCAAAGACAGTGAATGGGAATTTTAGAAGCAATATGTGCATTTACTGTTTATGCTTGTACAAATCTGCTTTATTTCATGTCATCAGGAATTTAACTTCTGGGATTTAAAAGAAATCAAAATAGCTTGGGGCATTTTAAAGTCGGTGCAGAGGCAACGCTGCCTCAAATAAGCTGACCCAACAGCTGCTTAAAGGCATAAATAAACCAAGCAGCTGCTTATGTCTCTGTGACTTGTATGCACCGAAGTGAGCAAAAATATTTGTTGGTTCTTTTTGTTTTGTTTACAGTAATTTAAATCCATGATATGTGAGATTTATAACTTTGATTTTTCTGTAACAATGAAAGTTTTCAGGAAACATATTTAAAAATTAAATTGAATTTACAGCAACATAAAATTACCTATGCAAGTTCATGGCAAAAATCAGAGACTTCTATCATTTCCTTTTAGATGCATTTCAGCTCGGTGCTTACCAGGGGACTGCTGCAGAGCCTGCTCCTTCAAATAACCAGGACAGATGAACAAAATAAATGCACTGGTTGGCTCCAAGACTATTACATTGGATGTGACTGCTGCTTTTGAGTACCTAGAATAGAATAAACAGAAATCACTCCTGTGTAGTTTCACTGTTCACTCTGATTCACTGACAATTTTCAATCTCAGCTCCATCTTAGAGAAACTTACCTTTCTTCCAGTTGCTGGCAGATCAATTAATTTGCTGTACATTAACCAGAGCAAAGGTTCTGGAACAACCCTAGAAAACTATTAGTTAGGAACAAATATAATGAAACACTAGAAATTCAGGAACATTTCATCATAATACTTCCTTCTAATTTAAGTGAATAAAACAAAAAACATAGATTTTGCTGAAACACTCAAGTACTTATGGTTAAATTTCATGGTGAGTGCTTTGGAGTGCCACCCTAATAAAATAAGGAATATGGAATAAAAACGTCCGCTTTAAATAGTAGTGTCTGTTAATGATTATCCACTAGATGGCGGCCATGAGCCACAGACAGGAGGCACAGCACACCACTGAAGGCCAGTAAAACTGCTTTCCAGATGAGAAGCAAAAGCATGTTCAACAAACCTACTTGTTTTGCCATTGCATTTGTAGATATCCTAAGTACTGGATGACAATATTAACAGATGTAATAATACAGCAATGGCATCAGAAGTCCCATTTAGATTTAACCCTCACTGTATCATTCTACATTTTCACATAGGCTTTCATCCAACCCTGAACAAGCTTCACAGGGAAAACCTTTCTGCAATTTGTCAATGTCAAACTATCCAGTCCTTAATGAAATGAAAGGCTTTAAATTGCTTTCTGTGCATACATGGGAAAAAGTTCAGCAATGCACACAATAAAAAAAAACAAAAATCTCAAATACTGTGAAATACAGGTGGGTCTAAATTATGGTTTTGTGAATGTTTATACTTCAATTTACCTGGGTCACTCTCACACTTTAGATGATCAAGTTTATTTCCATCCATTTGATCAAGTCTTGTGTGGGAACAGTAAAGGGCAAATACACAGAACATTATTTCATAACATTTTTGATTTATTGAACAATAGCAAAGCCATCTCACAGAGACAACTCTGAATCACCAAGAATGCAAATAAATATATATATATATATATAACCATAGTAGAATTAAGGACATTAACAACTGATAAAAATTGTTTTTACAACACTTTGAATAGTGCAAAGCCACAAAAACTGCCCTGATCGTTGAGATTCTTGCATTGATTCAAATGGAGGACAGTGGTTGTGTGCTGCCCCCTGGTGGGGAACCTTAAGAACTGACAGTACTGTATATGGCATGTTGACCAAAACTTAAAACATTATGAAAGTGACTCTCCGGCATCAGGGTGTAGCAAAAGTAAACCCGCTTGCTACACCCCGTCTAGAATGCATTCCACAACAAAGGTAATGCTAAACTGTTGAAATGTGGTATGGACAGTTAGTTTAAAAGGGTCATAAGAAGGGAAGGAAGAACAAGCAAGTACTCTGAGAAGTCCAATAGAGTTATATCAATTACTAAAGTTAAGTGAATCTCAACAAACATAAGTGCTCTTTTCCGAAAGGGACACTTGAGAAGCCACCAAAGCCAGAACGTGGACCCCATCATGAGCACTATACTTGACAAAGGAAAAGGTGAGAACCTAAACTATGTGACAGGTAGTGCCCACCAACCCTGAGTGGAAAATAATTTTTAAAAGGTTTTAGCACCGTCTGATACTACACAAAGCCAGATTTGACATTTTTTTCCCCCTCAATCCAAAATACGGAGTCATGGATTGCAACAGTCACAACACATTTTTAAAGTGCGCTCGCTCGCTTGAGCCATTCATTTTACTCACATTCATTTTTTTTACCCCCTTACACAATTTCACCCCAACAAACACCAAACTCTACTTAAAAACAACAGACAATGACAAATTACATTTTGGCATGCAATTTTTTTTTTTGCATACTGAAATTTCTTTTTTGGGACCACTTTTGCTGTTGAAAACTTGGACCTTACAGCAAATCAAATCTCCTCTGGGCTACGAGAGTGAGAATACAAATACGAGATCAGTCAAGTGTCGGTACTGCAGACACATGCATGAACCTTAAATGATCAGAAACACATTATCAGTGCTACTTTAAATAACCTGAAATGCTTGGAATGCCACTTGGTTCTCAAGGAGAGGAGAGGGGAGAGACGTATGTATTTTAACATAATGTGGTCATCTTTTTCCTGGTAGAAAGTAAATCAACAGACATCTGAACCAAACAGACCCAAGTCATAGAAAATCTGTAGACAAAAACATAGATACCTTTGAGACAACCTCCTTATATCCTATTGTACTAAATATTTGTGCAATAATAATGCATTCATCCAGCAGAGACTGGAGAGAAAAGAACCTCTGAGCATTGATCATTAAACGGGTTTAAATCATGCCAAAGACGAGGAAAGTAATACTGCAGTCGTTGCTGACTGGAGAAAGAGAGAAAGGACAAGACCATCAAGAGAGTACCAAGCCTCTGTGGGCTGATGTCACTTCAATGTTTTAGTCAGCGTAACTTCAACCCACAGCTGATTAGGAAGAAAAGAAGCATTGAAAGTGAAGTACCCAAAGGTCGCTGAACTCGAGACAGATCTGTATATACTGGGTAAATATGAGACAGAAAAAAATCAATTAAAAGTAACCTGTGTGCACTCATGCAAAAGATGTGCACAGTTTGCATCTTTGGCTGTGCATAGCACTACATCTCCGGTGTTGAGGTGCAAACAAAAAAAAAAGCACTACAGCAGGCTAATGCTGATTGGTATAGCCCTGTTCAGACTGCATGCTCAGGAAGAAGAGAAAGTATGAAGGACAGAGGATAACATAAGTAGACATGAGGAACAGTTTCCATCAGGAAGATGCCTGTTGACTTGGCTAATGCGACACCTTGTTAACTCAGAGCCATTTGGCTTTGGTATGATCGACAGATGCTGCAACCAGGCAGTGCACGTAGGCATTTTGGCTCGGCTCTCTGTAACCACGTTGTGGCATGTCCTTTTGTTTACTGCACTAGTCTAGCCCTTCAAGTTAATCAGTTGTCTCTGAAATTGCACAATTTGTTCCTCGAGCCATCAGAGCAGACCGAGTTGGGATCACAGTCTGAGACCGTTTGAAGTTCTCCCACTGGCTTCAGCTGGGAAGAGGCCAAAATAATCCTCCAATCACCAGTCAACCCATCTCTCCTTCATTCAGTGAATGTTACGTGTCTTGGTGGTACCTATAAAAAGACAAGAGGGAACCAGCTGAGAATGGCATATCACAAAGGACTGAACAAAATCAGACATAATCTCGTCAGGAGACAATCTCATTGTTAATCATTAACCTGGGGTGTTCACACAAGCTACTGAGAGAATAGCTCTAGAAGGTTGGCACGAGAAGTGTCACAGATTGTTATGTAAGGTATGAAAAAGCAGGGCAGAGATGTGCAACTAGCCAATCAAGGTGTGAAGATCCTGGGAATGTTGGATCCTTGGCTTGAAAAATGATAAAAAATAAAAAAAAAACCCACATTCAAAACATCACAACTGTTGCATACATGCCACCGGGCCATGAGATTCTACTTTCGTTTTAAAAGCTGCAGAGGTGTCAACGGAATTCTGCAGGGGCAGATTCTGTTTGGGCCATAATCAGCAAATTAAATACACACCTATAGCTCTCAAGTATTTGGTTACTTGGCAACGAGGCTACACCTATTACAGGAAATCATTCCCTCAGTTTCCTTGAAAGAGAACAAAGCTATCTGTGCAGCTGATTTAAAAGAAATGGTTTCGATATCAGATAATTATATTCTACAAAAACAACATTATGCAACAGCAATGTATTTTTCTGAAACATTCTTTAAGGAATGAAAATCTCTCAGGCACTGTGCATTTTGCAGCCTGTAATCAGTGATAACAAACTGGAGAAGAGAATTAATAAAACATCCTGACTAAGGCCCAATCCTATTTACTTTTTACCCCTACACCTCATTTTTGAGTTAACCCCTAAAACAGAGCAACACAAAGTAATGGTTGAAACCTGCCCCTTAAAAATTGCATAAACCTACAGGGCCTCTATACGTCATCATTACTCACTGAAGATCGTTAGGTAAAAAAACTTGACGAGTTGTTGTCGGAAATTCTGAATCACACAAGCTGTGGTGATTTCTCTCACGTCATCTATAGGCATTCACTCAGGCGATTTTCAACAACATAAGAAAAATGCTTTCAACACCAAGAACTGTGGGTGGATTCGTTTCATGTGTGGCATTTGACTGCAGACAGGTTTTACTGTAGTTAGCTTCACGCCACTCAGTTCTGAGTCTGTCTCTGAAAACCCTGTGTTTGATGGGTAACTTCCCAACTTGACGTTTCAATGCATTCTTTTTTCATACCATCCTGAAAACACATAAGGTTGACTTTCCTGAATTTGTCTTCAGTGGCACAGTCTAATTCTGAGGCAGAACTGGTGCACTGGGTAAATACTGTACGAGCTGAACAGCCCAACTTTTCAGTCTCTTTGGACAAGCACCTATTAGGGGTGTTTCATTTAAGACTATGTTTAGAAACAGAAGGCCATGAAGAAAAGAGTGAAATCAAAGGAGGAAGACATTTCTTACCCTCTCTGTAAGGTAAACTCAGGCAGTGCCCCTAGGGATGTCAGCTGCTCCTCCAGAGCCACGATACGCAGACCAATGTAGCCTGAAGACAGCAGCAACAGCAGCACCCTGTGACAGAAAAAAAATGACAAGTCACATTTATTGCCTTTTTATTAACACTGATAAAGGCTAATTACATCATCTTACAGCAGCTAAATAATGGATTAACACATTTTTTATAGGCCATTTTACTGGAACTAAAAGAAGTGCACTTCCCATCACAGATGTGCTGTGGAAGATCAATAAACTACTCTGCCAAGAAACATTACAGTTTGGCAGACAGAAAAAAGGCTTTGACTCAATTTTACTGGGTTAAAATACAGTTTGAGGGAATGCTGTACATGTCCTGTGTTACCACCCGAACACTGTTTTGCAAAACACAGAAGACATGCATGCTCAACTTTTTCCTTCAAGGTGCAAACAAGGACAAGCAAATGTAGGCAAGCACATAGGAAGATACAGCATTGGATTAAATGGAGGAGGAAGACAGGTTAATACAGAAGAGACTAGATGTGATACTCACAAAATCAAGTATATGAAGAGTAGAGTGTTAAGGGTGCCGACCTCTCTCTGAACCAGCAGGGACTTTGCTTTTTCTGTCACATTCCAAACCCATGATCCACCTGAACCTGGAAAATTAAAGCACAGCATTATAATCAATGGTTCTGATTTAGCAGGGTTTCCCCCCCAGTTAGGTTATTTAGTTATCTACAGTAGTGTGCATATTTTGTGGAAGACTAGAGAGAATATGGAACACACACAGACACACAAAAAAAATCATCTCCTGATTACAAAAAAACACAGTTTAAGAGGAAATCCTTGGTTTTTCTGTGCCTCTGTCAGAATTCAGATATAAACAACTGTATCTTCCAACTAACAACTTTTAAAAAGTGCATTTCCTTGCACCTGTTAATCTGTGGTCACACATGCTGCTTTATACTGTAGCCTCAGAGTGCCTAAAATGGTGGCCAGCTACATTTCACTGGTGAGCCAAAAATTGGCTAGTAACCCATGTGCATGCTTGCATGTGTGTGTCATTACCTGACACAGATAGATTTTCTGAAGATGAGCTATCATCCTGATGCATTTGCAGGCTCCTGAAACTGGAGCCATTTCCAATAGGCACTGTCTCTGCAGAAGAAAGATGGGCAAAACAAAATGAATGCCAGCCTGCTATTAGATCTGGAACATTGCATGTCTGCTGACTAGAACAGAAACGAGAATGAGATAACATTTAAACACTGTCAACTGTTTTTATGCTTTACTGTCAACTTATCAAAAAAAAAAAAAAAAAACCCATAGACATCATGGGTTACGTAACATTTCTCCATCATACAGTACATGATCATTCCAGGTGCATTTAACATCTGCTATATTCACCGTTTCACAATAATCTTGTAATTGCAATGTTGAAGACTGAGGAATTGTTGTTAACCTCTTACCTCTGTGTGGTCTGTGCAGAGGCTGGTGGTATAAAGACTGAGTCTCACAGCCTTCAAACTGGTCCACGCTGTCGTCCAGACTGGACTGGCTGGAGTTCTGTTGAGATAAGAGAAAGGGATAGCATCATAAAGAGTCAAGTTGCTTAGATGGGAAAAACTAAAAGATTTTTGGCCACTTGTCACAATGTCCAATCTATCCCATAATTCAGGCATATCCAGAATTGTACATTTTATCCTCTGTGTGCCCTTTTAAAAAATGTTATCGCTGGGCCCAGTGACTATAACTCAATGTTATTTTAAATCTTTCAAAATGGAGAAAAGGTCTCTTACCACCAGTTTGCTCTTATCAAAGCTGTTCTCGGCTGAGGAGTAGAAAGGGCTACCATTTGTGCTGTGGTCCTGTAACTGAGAGAAAAATGTATTCAAAATTATACTTCAGGGAAGTAGAGCAAAATGCCCTGAAACTGCATTTAGATCAAGTATAAATGAACTGTTTACAACAGCAGGACTGCTGCCCTCTCTCATTCACAAAGCTGTATTTTTCTTTTTTTTTTTATTTCTAGAATTTTAAATTGTGTAATAAAATGTACACAGTGTTGCAATGCTCCTACAGATTCAGCCAAGGACTTTCACATTCTTTGTAATTCAGTACAGTTGTGTAAACATATGATAAACTTGCAGACTGACTGTACTGTGTAACTGTTGTCATGTACAGTTTTACCACATTTTGATCAACTTCAGACTTTGTGTAACTTTTGAATTGAGCTACTCACCTCTACCTTGGGACAGACTGACCGGAGAAGCTGATAACAGGAATCTCTGTTTCGCAGCGAAACAAACAAGTACTAAACAATGACAGGGACAAAGAAAAAAACAAAAAAACAACAGGAATATTAGCCATTTGCTCCACTGGCAAACTTGAACCACAAAACTAACTTAAGGATTAAATTACATCTAAAACAGAGTTCAATGTCATCATGTTAGAAATGCATTTGACTTTAACCATATAGGCCCTTATCAAGTGTTATTTAATGGCCGTGTGAGACTGGAGTTTAAACACTGACCTTGTCTCCGTCTGTGGTGCGGATTGACAAGGCATTGGGCACCAGCAAAGCTGTATTCTGCTTCTTCACTATGCGAATGCAGGAAACCGGAATCACTACCTGTACGAACACAGTCACACACACACAAAGGGCAGACTTAAAAATCAATCTAAACAAACGTCAATCAATCAATCAGAGACCAAAGCTGAGATGCCGTTTACCTTAGTGTCCTTGAGTAGAACTGATGAGAAGAAACAGGCATGAGTGTCTGTGATGTACAGCCGACCATGGTAGGGCACTTCTTTCTGCAGGGCACAGAGGTAAGCTGGAAGGAAAGGACCACGAACACTTAGCTTTATATTGTTTGTTCATTCATTAATTCAGAGTCTCTCTTTCATCTTTATTTCCCTACCATGTAACAAGTCTTCACTCTCAGGAATGTCTGGAAACAACCTGTGGAATGTCCTGTTGTGCTTCATGAAACTCTTAAAAAAGAAAAACAAAAAAGATAAAGGTGTCACTTAAAAATTAAAGCAAAAATCTTAACTGAGCATGCAATCCTGGGTTGTCTATGTTCAAGAGCAGCCACATATGCATTCACCAAAAAACACCAATAGCGTGGTGCATCTAAAGTACCACAAACATCTTTACTTCCAACTGACAAGTACAATAATCTTCTTCAAAATGTTCAAACACTAAAAGTTGCAGACTTACACTTTAGTAAAGTTAAAACTTACACTTTGTGTTCCTGTGCCTTCCGTCTTCTCAAAGCCTCTGTTGTCCACATCAAATGTCTGCGATCTACAATGAAAAGAAAGAAAAAACACCATAGGAAATGTTCTGCACATCATACCAGTCAGTGATCTGTAGAAATGGACTTGCCTGACACCAGAAGGGTCTAAAGCAGATCATAAAACTTTATGAGGGTCAGACACCTACCAAGTTTGAGTCACTGCATAGTCCAGAACAAATTTAAAGGTATACTTTTGTTTAAAAAGTAACATACTCCAACCAAAATGACATCCACATGCCACTAATGACAGGAACTGAATGCCTGTGACTTACACGTACGGTAATGTCACATGCATATGCTCCATTTACCCACTGTGTATACCTACTGTATATACAAACAGAAATGTGGCTCATGATTATACAAAATGTTGGCAACTTTGTATATTTCTGTAAAAGATTATATTAAACAGTATTTAAGACCTTTAGGTTTATTTTTTGGCTAAATTCCCCATCAGTCCTACCTGACGGCTGCTTGTCTGCTGAGGGTTTTGTGCTGTTGCTGGACTTCGAGCTGGGCTGCCTCTAGGCTCAAGGCTTTCCTGGCCTCCACCTTTTTGATGCTACCATTACTGAAGCTGCTCCTGCTTTTCTTCACTCTGGCCGACAGCCCGCCACCACTGCTTTCTACTGGGTAGCTGCTAAACACACACATGAAGTACAGATTTAGCAATATGCAAAACAGAGTTTTAGAATACTTTTCTTGTGTACATACAGTATGTAGAATTTTTCCCACACGACACAGCCTGGATGTAACATGACACAAAACAATGACTTGCTAGAAGCACAAAAAGTAAAATGCACGACTCCACCACAGGCACCTCACAGTAAACTGAAAGCTGATCACAGATGATGAATACAAGACCTAAACAGGCCATAAAATAAAATTAGAGGAAAACACCAGCCATCATGTAAATGTAAACATCTCTGAACAAAAAAATAAATAAATGCTTGTAACAAACTTCTGTACTCTACAGAAGTGTAGCTATGACTAAAGAACAGCACAGTTAAACATTCAACAACATAGACATCATATGAACTCTGTTCAACAAAAACCAATTCAACAAAAATAAAATGCTTTGTGGTGAGTGGACTGACATTTAGCAGATGACTTATCTTTATGGTGTGTTGGGGAAGGTTGCTCTTTACTAAATTACAAATGAACTTTTGTTGACATAGCGTACATTGTATCAGCACCCAGTCTGTCTGTACAATTACACCTCGCAGCTGTTTTACAAGCCAATCGATGTAGATTCACAGTCCACAACTGGCAAGGCTCTGCAAATATGCCACTTCAACAACAACAAAAAAACAAACAAAAAAAACACACACAAAAACCTGTCCTGTAAAAAAGTAGATTGCAGATTTACTACAGCCGATGTGCTCTGTCCTTGCCCAGGGGGACAAATGAGCCACAAATTCATTAAAAGAATAGTCAACTGAATTCTAATGCCAAATCCAAACCTGTAAACTACAGGACAAATATGGGACAAGACGAAGTGTTTCAGTAAAACCCTCGTTTTCCAGTAAAAACAAAAACAAACAAACAAAGCTAACTGCTGAAGACAAACAACAACAACAAAGACTACCTTACCTGCTAAGTTTAAATCGCTTTGATGAATGAAAACTCATATACCTACTGACAGTAGGCATTTCCTTAGTTAAAAGAAAGAAAACAAAAAAAAACAACCACCCTCAAAATGCTCTACTCTCGAGACCACACTCACTGACCTAAAGTCAGGAAAGCTGAAGTAAAAGAAAATTGAAAATGCCAAGATAATACGACGCCTAAAAGAAGATAGATGTACATAGTCCTCTTAATTTTCTAAATGTATGATCACAGAGGAGTTTTTGTGGTAGCCAAGTTGAGGTCCTTTTGCCACATCCTGCCAGAAAAAAAACTTGTTGCTATATGAATGTACTGGTAAAGAGGAATGGTGTGACACTTCGTAGTAGGTGACGTCAAACTGAACCACTCCCCCAGAGCCAACCAGGCATGAAAGAGATACAGCAGACAGCGCTTCTCTCTCTTCCGTATATAGAGTCAGCGAAGCACAACACAAGAACCAACATGTTTAAGAATTCTGGGCCCATACCACAAACTCTTCCGCTGACAAACATCAAAATCGTGTCTTGTTAGGCTTTGTGCTGGCAAGGCAAAGCAGAGCCAGACTTTTTAAAACATCTCCTTGTGTGAAACAGTAGTGGAGCATTTTATACATTTTCTTTCATGCAGGCTGAGTAACTGGGATAAAGGTCAGAGAGAAAAAGAAAACGAAATCCAGCTTCAGTTCAATGTCTACCCTGTAAGTAGACTTAAATACCAAATAAATGGTGACAACACTTAACCTCACATCAGTACAAACACAGCTTTAAAGACAATATTCAGGGTGTTTTCCTGTTTGTATAGTGGACTCTATTTACATTCTTAAATGTCATGAAAGCTTAGGCCCGTTTATGAATGTTAAGTTATGAGCCATGTTAAGTATAGCTCCACAGTAGCCTGCATGTTTCTCCACTCTAGAAACTTCAGCGGGTAACTGCCCTTTATAAAGTTGTCCTTTTACTAGATACAGCATTCTATAATACTTAACATACAAAGCTGGTGAACTCTGGGACAAGTGAGTTAATGTGGCTGGTGTTTAAACTAAGGCAACACACTGAGAACAATTTCACAGTCATAGCTGAACCACTGAGCAGGTGGCTGTGTGTTCTTATAGGTTCACATAAAAGACAGTTGGTTTAAATGACAGGGCAATATAGACCGCAATCAACTGTTCCCATTTCTCAACAACTTCCCCTCTTTACTTACTGACAGTAACAATTCACAAGGTCACACTGCTTCCCATGCTCAGGAGGCCGCCAGTAATGCTCGGCTGTTTCAGTAGGATATGCTCTACATTTATTAATAATTTTAAAAAGTCAAAACATCAGATTATGGTTGTCATTTTGCACAAATGTGGTAATTTTAGAAAGTTGGTGGTATTGCATGTGTAAAATCCCTGTCTTATTTAAGATGATGACAGTGATGTTTGTGTGAAAAGGTTATTTCATGACAAGATTATCAGGCTCTTTTCAATCTGTAGATAAGAATGTGACAGCAACCAGACGTTTAAAAAAAAAAAAAAAAGACTAGTCAACAAAAGGTTACAGCATGGAAAAAACAACATGCACATACTGTAAAATGACCTATGTACTGGACAAAAAAGGTGTTTCTATTGCCAAAGCAGGGGGTGGCCTACTTGATGTGTGCAACGTCCAGACAAAAGCCTCAACCTCTGACTTACTTCCTTGTTGAAGCACCATGTCATGTCACCTGGCAAAACTCAATGTCGGGCCTAGTTTTACAACATATTTCAAAGGAAGTATATCAAATTCACAGCAGCAGCAGATTAAAGTAGACATGCATGAGATCTTAAAGTGCACGCTTATCTGGACTTACGCCAGTGCACAGTTAGTCATGGGAGTTGGGCTACAGCACAAACAGCAACCTCACATGTTCTGGGAAGCAAAGCTTACTTACAAACATTTATATGCATTTGTTGAGACCAGATAAATCATTTCAACACAGAATCTTGACAGTCACTGGCTCAGACTACTGATATGCTGACAGGTTCTCCTGGGTTTACAGAGAATTTAAGGCAAAGCCAATTCGACTACCCAGAAAAATTAACTGTTGAATAAGAATTTATCTGAAGCACCAACATGACATCAATGACAACATGACAAAAAAAAAAAAAAAAAACAAATATTTTTCCCAGAGGCAGGCGGAAAAACGTATGTAACCAGCCTGAGCTTTGAAATGAGGCGCAAACACAGCCGAGCAATAAGTATAGCCCTCTCTTATTAAGAAGCGCAATCAGAAACTTGCCTTACCTTCTCAGATCCTCAGAGCAATGAGGATCGACCACAGCAGCCTGTCGGCTCAACAAGCGTTTTTCTCTCTCCATGACCAACCACAGTCTGTCTTCCACTGGCTCTGAAAGCTTGGAGTAAGCACTGGGTGAGCCAACCAAATGACAGCTCTTTTGCACTTAGAACCTGAGCACTGACAGGCAAATCAAAAGGGTGTAAAGGTCTGCTTTGTTGCAATATCTTAAAGAACCCAAGAGCTCAACATGAAGCCAGAGCCAGAAATACACAGCAGGATGGGAATGTGAAAGAGCAAAACAAAAAGTTGGGCTTTTATACCCAAGTGCCCACCCAGGCTTCATCCTTTCTGAAGCAGTCTCAGCCTGTGTTGTTATGGAAACGTAACAGCAGGAGGTGGATGGTGGAAATGTAGGGGGTGAGAGAAACTGTTTAGAAGGCCTAACAACAACATTCAATAGTCTGTTCTCAATAACAAGGAGATGGCTTTAAAAGCAGTGAGTGCAATGTGCATGACAATTGCTAGCCCATTCTCATTGATGGGATCACATACAATGCGATTTGTTTGACTGAAGGGCAACACAGAAACGCTCAGGACATATGAAAAAAAGCTATAGGTCAGAATCGGCTTTACTGGTCAGGTGTGTGTGTGAACACACAAAGAATCTGACTCTGGTACAGTGGCTCTCGGTGTGCATGTACAATGTTCTTCCATAATGAAATAAGTACACAAGATAAGACGGGACAAGAACAAGAAAAGAATGTGCATACGATTCACTTGCAAGCGCTATTCACTGCACCTAAACAAACTCAAAATACATTGCCTGTGAAGATATGGTACAGACATTTCCACAAGCAAATATGTTTGTCACTCTTCCTTTTATCTGCATACAAGACTTGCACAATGCTTGTGAGGAGGTACAAGTTCACTTATCACAACTCACACAGTTTATCTCTGTTCCTGAAACAGTATGCTCATACCACATAAGTCTTCCATCATCACATTTGACGTCTAGCTTCCATATTAACATCCAAAAATTGTTACTGAGAGTTTGATGGACTGTTTTTCTCCTGGTGTGGACAGAAGTGTTGTTGTATGCTTAAATTAACTGGAAACTAGCACCAACTGAGGTGTGTGCAGGGGGTGGGAGGTGCAGCACAGAATGTTCCAGTGGCAAAGTGTATAGAGTTATGATGCTTTTATTTACTGTCCTGAGATGAGACAGATGATCCCAGGGGTCCGGCGGCAGACGTCCTACTGTGCTAGCGCCCTTAAGACAAGACTGCTCCTGTACAGAATGCTTAGGTCAAAGTTTTTCTCACACCAGCATTACTGCTGGAACAACATGAGCCCCACATTCTCAAGTGAGGATGACAAATGTTTTACATCCATGAAATCTCTGAGCTCAGCAGAACCTGTGTGTGTGAGCACAGCACCATCTGCTGGAGAGTTGAATTTTTGTCACGTGAACTCAGCATCCCAACAGTTTATTCCAAAGTGGAACAGACTGCTGCAGTTGTTTTGCTGAGCCAAATCGGACACTTAGTGTTGATGTTTATTTACCAGAACAGAGAATTCAAAACCACTACATCATCCAAGTCGTAATCTCTGATCTAATTTTAGTACTGTGTACCACAAGAATTAAAAGTGATTTAATTTTGTCAGGGCAGGGTTTAAATTTGGCCTACTTTATGCAAAGTTAGCAGAAATAAACAATTATAAAACTGAAAAATAATGACATTCCTGAACATTATTCTGGTTTGGACTGAAAGGGATTGTGTGTCTGTACATATGCTTGAGAAAGGCAGAGAAGTGACCAGAGGTAATGGCATACAGTCTGTGGTCCCATGCCAACAATGTAGGATAACTGTGTGTGCATTTCTAACTGAATAAATATGCATGTTTGAGTGGGAAGTCATGTGACCCTGTGTGTGCAGTAGGGTTAGTACTTTTAATTAAGGATGTGAATAATTCCTCTACTACTGGTGCCAACATGCTTTAGTTATATGACATGCTATAATTATATAGCTGTCCCTGGTAGGCTAGTGGTTAAGGTGCAGCGCTTTGGCCGCTGCGCCCCGGGTTTCGAATCAGGGTTGCGTCAGTAAAACACGTGCCAAATGTCAACATGCGAGTCGTCAGTGTGACGATTTGCTGTGGCAACCCCTAAACGGGAAAAGCCGAAAGTGACTTTTCTACATGCCATAATTATATGCAGTTCTTATCTAGTTTCTGTTTATTCTTTAATTTACACGGAAACGCTCTTGACTGTAAACGCATAGTTTCGTTAAAATGATTGCTGTGTAGACGGGAAGTATTTGCGTTGACATGAAAACAGTGAAAACGAATAAAACTATGTCTGATGTCTGAGCATGCGCTTGAAGACGATGGCGTCATTAGCGACTTCTAGCGACTTTTAGGACAGCCAATGTCTACTTTCCTTGCTGAGGAGTTGGCAACACTGCGTGGAAGAGGGAGCATAACGAAGTCATGGCGGACGCAGAGAAAACACAAGGGAAAAGAGTTGTTTGTGTGGACTCACAACAAAGTAGAACTTCTACTGAAAGTTGCGTTGGAGTACAAGTGTACTAAACTTCAAGAGAATGTTGACTGGGAGTCGTGTCAGACTAAATATTCCAATATAACGCAGGCGTTTCAGGCACAGCATCCAAAGGAACCATGTAGTGGAAAGAATTTCCCCTCACGATGCTAAAAAGATTTCAAAAGCTCAAGTCACGACCAAGGTATAAAACATATGTGTCAAATACAGACAGGCAGTGGACACCGGACGTCGGAGTGGGCAAGGACGAGTAGTGTTTGTTTTTCATGAGCTTTGTGAAGAGATCTGGGGTGGGTCGCCTGCTACACGTTCCATCGACAACGGCATCGAAACGGGTGACCTGGAAGAAGAGTCTTCATCATCTGAGGTGCCTGCTAATTCTCCAAACTCCACAGATGAATCCCTTGATCTTGGTGCAGTTGCAAAGCAGCGTCAGGATTTGCTCCA